TACGGTGGCAAAAAGGGATCGTCGCATGAAGATCTGCCCCTTCAGGCCAGCGCAGCGGAAACAAGCCCAGGAAGAGCACTTGGATTTGCCGTGCCCATGCTCAACAAAAGCGTCACGGGCATGAGCCACAGAGCTGACCCCTGGTCTCAAAGCAGCTCCCGCAGCTCCAGCCCCTGTAGATACCACTTTTGGTGTTCACACAGGTGGGAGAACACTGGGATTGTGGGAGGCAAAGGAGCAAGAAGGGCGACCTGGTAGCAGTAAGTTCTCCCAAAATAAGCTGGCTCTGAGAGCACATCTAAGGACGCATGGGAGAGAGACTGCTGCCCTCCCTGCCCACAGGAGAGCTTGACTGAGGGCTCACTTGAGCCCTGTAAGTCTTGAATCAGGTTTTGTTAAACACCTGCTAGGACAGGATCACAGAACTGCAAGAGACGGTTCCAACAGGAACAAGAGGAACCAAGAGGAGCAAGATTTGGCTCCCGTGGTGCAGGAGAGATGTCCACAAGGCCGAGGGAGGTGATTCCCCCCCTCTACTCCGCTCCGGTGAGACCCCACCTGCAGTGCTGCGTCCAGCTCTGGGACCCCCAACACAAGGACATGGACCTCTTGGAGTGGGTCCACGAAGATGATCGGAGGGATGGAACACCTCTCCTGTGAAGACAGGCTGAGAGAGTTGGGGTTGTTCAGCCTGGAGAGGAGAAGGTTCCGAGGTGACCTTACTGCAGCCTGCCAGTACCTGAAGGCGGCCTAGAAGAAAGCTGGAGAGGGACTTCTGACAAGGGCATGTAGCGATAGGACAAGGGGTAATGGTTTTAGACTGAAAGAGGGGAGATTTAGATTAGATATAAGGAAGAAATTCTTCACTATGAGGGTGGTGAGGCACTGGAACAGGTTGACCAGAGAAGCTGTGTGTGCTCCATCCCTGGAAGTGTTCAAGGCCAGGCTGGATGGGGCTTTGAGCAACCCAGTCTAGTGGAAGGTGTCCCTGCCCATGGCAGGGGGTTTGGAATTAGATAATCTTTAAGTTCCCTTCCAACTCAAACCATTCTATGATAAACTGGAATGCATCCAGCAGAGACCACTAAGATGGTCAGAGGCTGGAGTACAAGGCATACGAGGTGGATACACTTCCCTGAAACACTTATCCCAGCTACTGCAACGCCTCCAGCTCCGGAATCGATCCCCCATCTCCCTCCAAAGTTCTCCCATGTTACTGTCGATGCGACTGCTCTCACTCACTGCTTGTGGGGACAGCACAAACACCTGTCCATGGTGAGAAAAGCCTGGTGATGTAATTCAGCTGCATGGAACCACTGAAGGACACTTTACCCAGGGGTCTAGGTCTGGAGTTCCCAAAACGTTAACAGGCAGGGCACTGGGCTCAAAACCAAAGCCCATGATGTGCAGGGCTGCAGTTCACCACCCTTGAAAGCAGGTTTCCACCAGGTGCCTGTGAAACGTTATCCTTCTGAGAAGCCCTTGCTGCAACGCCGAGTTTGAGGAAGGCAGACGGAGCGGTTGGTGTCCCGAGTACACAGCTGGAGGGTGCCTCCTGCTGTGTAGATTACAGCTCTTTGGTGGTGACACCGGGCTGATCAGGTGAGAGCTGAGACCCTGTGAGCGTGCAGACACGGCAGAGCTGGAAGAGGTTTAGTTGTTAGAGCTGCATGTCCTGGGAAGGATGCCACGGCTAGAAAGCCCCTCTTGGGGCTGCACGGTGAGAAATGTTGCCTGTGAGCGGTGCCTGGCCGTGGTTTGGATAGACCTCTTCCAGGATCTCAAGTAAGACCAGCAGAGCAACCTATGCGTCAACCTCGTGTAATGAAAGTCCTATTACAACGCTGGGCCACGGCTGAGACCTCATCACCCTCACCAAGAAATGGGAAGCCAGCAGTTTCTACTAAGAGCTACCCAAACATTTACATGGCTTTACTGTAGGACTCTTAGGAAAAGTGACACTGTGAGGGTCCACCCAGATGAAGCAGAGTCTCAGCTGGGGTGTTCTTAGCTCATCTGTTTCTGAGCAAAGCACGAGGCACTTGGCATAACAAATCCCAAATCACTTTTATAAAAGGCATTTCTAAACTGCACAAAGCCGCTGGTTAGGTGTACAACCACAGTCAAAGACCTGAATTCAATTTAGTTCCGTTTGTTTTTTTAAAATGACTGCAACAATTCAAACCAAGTCTTAACTGACTTGAACCACCAAGGACTCAAAGTCCAAGAGGCTTTGAAAAATAACCTGGGAAAACCGAGTCAGGAATGTCTTCTAGGAATCAGCGGTAGGTTGAAGCCTATACCTCCACCACGCACCGCAAACACATTTCTCTTTCCCACACGCAGTCCTGACCACGTTAGTCCAAATGTGAGCACAACAAGTAGAAACCACTAGTGAAACCACAAGAACACTTGAAATAAAAAAATCCCAAGCAACAGGTATGGGACAGATACGTCACAGCAGCAAAACCTTTGCACTCCTCAAAAACCAGAATCAGGACACCAGGTACAAGAGCTGGTGAGAAGCTGGCAGCAGTGACTGGTGTTGGCTACAGCTGTGAGGCCACTTAGGACCTGGGTCAAGTGGAAAGGGAAAAACAACTCAACCTTGTACTATTGCTTTGAGTGCAAGAAGTGGAAAGCATCACTGCTGTCTAGTCTATACAGGGATCTACCACCACTACGTGATGCGCGTTGTCTGCGGCAGGAAGAGGGACTCAGCCCTGCTACATGCAATTAATTGTCACTAAGAGTGTGGCCTCTCAGCATTAATCATGACACAACAGCAAGATGGTTTCTACCACAGGGAGGGTCTCCATGAGAAGCCAGAGAGACCATCCCATCATGCATTTCTTGGCATCAGAATAACCAGGTATCTAGGAGCATCTCTTGGGTTTGTTTGTGGCAAAAGGGAAACCACAACAACAACAAAAAAAGCTCTAGGATAGTCACCACAGCTTTGCTGAGAGACCAAGCGGGACATTAACATAACACATGACAAAGAGACTTGGCTTAAAGGAACCATGAAGAGAAGGAACAAAGAAAACTCAGAAAGAGATAAAGATGGTGTTGCTACAAAGATGAAGGAGGTCCGACCGCAGCAAGCTAAAAGGTGATCGACAGCAGAGGAAGACGCCAAATGTGAAAGGCAAAGCCAGGTACTGGAGTATTTCCAACCTAAGGACCTACAATCAGCCCATAAGCCCTAAGCCTATGGGTCTAAGAAATGGAGATGCCCTCTCACCAGGGCACGTTCATACGCTGCCTCGGGTTCTGCAACTGGGGCACGATGGATTAGGCTGGGCAGCCCGGCAGGTCCGGCATCAGTGGCTCCAAAAAAGAAGCCTGTCCACTGAGCAAAGGCGTCTCTGCAATTGCAGCGAGGCAAGGACTTGCGGGCTGGGGTGATATCCATCACTAGGATGACGAGCAGAGTTGAAAATCAATAGATGAGCTTTCAGGCACATGAGGTCTTCCCCAGAACCGAAACAGAAGCCCCAGATTTCCAAGTTAAATTATTCCGCTTAGTGCAGACCTCTGCTTCTGTCTGCCCAGAAGAAAGGCTTTGGTGCACAGAGCTCCTTCCACTTTTTTCAACTATATGAGTCGATCTAATAAAAATACCTCCTCCATCTCTAAACCCCGTGTTGCCTGACCACCACAGCTCTCGCACTGCTTCAAAACCTTCACCAAAAGGTAGTGACAGGCATTCCCAACCACCTCCAACACCACCTGCACGTTCGCTGCCACCGTCGTCTTCTGCGCTGCCGGGGACACCTGCCCCGCTGCTCTGCCTTGATTTCAGACCTCGTGTTCCAGCTGCAAATCAAACCTGCAAATGCAGCAAATCCTTAAAACTCTGGGCTACTGCACAGAGGTCACAGACCTTCCTTCTTTTCTTCAGTGGCACTTCTCGCTGCTTGAAGCCCCGGCACAGGCAAGGGCAAACTTCAACACAATCTTTTCATGAAGCCCCCAAAAAAAAAAAAAAAAAAAAAAATTTCAAGAACAGCAGTAAAACACACGTCTGAGCTCCCCTGGGTCCTCCTCGGAGCTACTGACCTTAAAGTCATTTAGTGCAGAATTACAATTCCTCCTACACAGCCAGACTGAACCTGAAGTCTCCCAAAAGCACGCAAGAGGATGCAAAGCATGCAGTCCCGCTACACGGCCTCACCAGTTAAAAGTACACGCTCAGGAACACTTACAGGCAGATGGTTTGAATGCCAAAAGCTTAGCAACAACTTGAGTCCCTTGGCCTGATACATACCGCAGCCTGGACATGTTAGTCCACCTTACTTGGAGGTTACTCATCCACAGATCCTTGCTGGTCGCTTTTGGACCTGAAACTAAAATAATTTTCTTAATGATGCTTAAAGAAACGTTGCCGCACCCTTCTGACCAGCTCCGACCTTACAAAGCTAGTACTGACCCTAACCTGCAACCTGACCTTGGCACGTGCAACCTGCAAGGGCGAGCGAAGTTCACGCTAGCGTTCTCAAGACACCTCCAAAATTCAAAAGTGCTCATTTAGATCGCTGTTACATGGATGGGTCAGTAAATGCTACTATTATTCTTAGTGACAGAGCCCTCCTATATGGAGAAAAAGGTGTATTTGTGATTTAACACCAAAACTGACAGCCCAACCGGGCAGCGCCCACGGATGCTTCTTGCAGGCTAACGTGACCTGCTTCCACCAAGGCAGCGGTAGATGACTTCACATTCGCCAGTCCTGTCGCTCTAGCTGCTCTGAGAGCAGAGATGCTTCTACGCTGCAGCCACTAACACAGGCAATGTCAAGTATTCTGCTCTTCCCACTCACAAAGACAAGTGTTTGAGAGCCTTGCGCTCTTAGAGAGGCATGCACCGTGAAGGACCAAGCTCCTCCAGTTCCCACCATCGGTGCGTGGCAGGACCTACCTCACCAGGTCTCCTGCGGGGTTGTATGATTTGTATGGCTGGGACCAAGTCTGGGGGCAATAAATACATCAATGACTTTGTGGAGGTGGAAGAGACCTTTTTAATAAACAGGATTCAAATAAAATAAAATAAAAAAAAATCCCTCTGAACTGCCACTGCGAGAAGAGTTCGGATAACTAGCACAGAAGATGATGCTGCGTGTGCACGATGGAGGGAGAAGGGAAGAAAAGAACAAGCTGTCACCAACTTGATGAGCTTCCTCAGTAAATCAGCAGAAACCAGCTCAGCAAAACTCTCCAGATAAAACACCGGTGGATCCATCAGAAACAACTCAAATCAAAACAAAGACAAATCCCTACATCGGAAGGCGCTACGTCAGAGTAACCAGCAACATACTGAGTGCCGCTGGAGCCGCAGCAACGGCAGGGAGACGGGTCAGATCTGCCAGTGGTTCCCCGGGTCAGGAATAGCCACAGTGTGAGGGACGCACTCAATCCGTTCACAGGCAGTGTGTGTGTGTTTGTGCTAGAGGGGGTGTCGGTGGCGGGGAGGTCAGGCTATCGAACGAGGTGGTGGTGTAGAGTGGCAGCAACGGAGGGTGAAGGGCAGCACTCAACGATGTCAACTCCGTCTTGCTCTGGTGGCTAGTGCAAATAGTCGTCTACTCTGGCAAAGGAGCAGGAGCCCAAGCCCACGCGAGCCATGAGCCGCAAACACTCCGAGGCCTGGCCCAGGGCAAGCATCAGCGGGGGCTGCTTTGGCAGGTTCTGAGATTCTGTGGGGGTAAAAAAAGAAATCTGTTTAGAAGAGGCATCCTGGCTGCGGTGCCGGCTCACCTGCACGCGGGTCGCTCTCAGTCCCACCTGGGCACCAAGCCCAGCAGCCCGGCAGAAGGCCCTGGCTCTGGAAGGAAGCTACTCCTACGTAATGCTGGCTCTGCACCGCTGCTCGTCCGCACGCCCCACCACCCACGACACGTCCCACGTGGGGCCAGAGCTCAACGGGGCCTTTGAGAAGGTGCTGCCATGGCAGTCAGAGCAAGAAAAAGGCAGTGAAGCTCCTGCTGCCTCAGTGTCTGCCAGAAAACCCCCAAAGCATGAGAGATCAAAGTGTGGAAGAATAAAGAAAGGCAGGAGAAACTGGGACCAAGTGAGAGGTGATGTGTCCGTCTCTCCCAGTTGTCCACGTCTACACAGTAGTCCAAGCTCTAGACAAACTCACTCACTGGGCACTGTTTCTTTTCAACTTCACGTTTGCTATGTATGCAAGAGGGAATCCTCAGCTGAGCTAGACAACGTGTCTTGCGACCTGTGTGACAAAGCCTGTCCAGACACCATCTTTCATGTCTCCCTGGTGACACCCCTCAGCAACTCGTCCCTGCTGCTCAAGCACTGGACAAACAACGGCTGAACTGAGCCACCCTGCTGGACACCTGCCCATGGTGACTGTCAGGGGAAGGGACGCTCCTTCTCAAACCGTATCGTTTCTGTTCCTTTACTCAGACAGAACAGGAGCCCTCGTGGGTTTCTCCATCAAGCTGTTCCTTCCCCCAGAAGATAATCTCTGAATCTCCTTCTGGCACACTCAACGTGAGGTGCACAGACCCACAAGGCAATACGTCTGGGCACAGCGAGCTAGACTGCACCGGAGTCAAGCGTGGGTTTCCGAGACAGAGAAGCCGTCCAGCGGACGGCGTTTGGCAGGCTGCGGATGGACTGGGCTAACCCAGACTGGGGAGCGTCCTGTGAAGTTACCTGAGCAATGACACAGTATGTGCATGGTCTGGTGACAGGATCAAGGGCCCTGCCTACAAGGAAACAACCCCTTTCTTCCAGACCGTGGGATTTTCTGCAGCCGAAGGTGCGAGGGAGGGCAGCAACAACATGGCAACTCATTGATTGCAAGCACAAGACTTCCATTAGGGAAAGCTCCTGCATTTACCACACCAGGTTCAAGACAGGAAAGTAAACGACAACAAGCTCTTGGGCCAAGGAACATGCTTGTTTAAGGAAAACAGAAGAGCAGACATAAACTATCGGCTCTGAGGACACAGACGAGGGCAAGAGACTCCTCATACCTGGATCCAACCGTGACCCATTCTGCTGACACAAAGAGCAAAGCTCATCAAAAAAAGGGGAGCTGTCTTACTAGCCTGACGATAACCAACCTATAACCAGACCTGTGCACGGAGCGGCGTCCTCTCAGCCCAGTTACAACCAGAAGGGAAAGAGCAACTGGGCCACTACCACAGCACCGATTTCAACACCGGGACTGCAGGCAGCCAGGCAGTCTGGGCTCCAGCAGGCACAGCACACGGTGGGAACGTGCAGAGGCAATGCTCGAAGGGAAGACAGACACATTTAACTCGGCACGTCCAACAGGAGCTCAAAGGTAACTGGACTTACGGCCCCTTCTGCTTTTGAGCCAACGCTACGGGAAGTGGCTTCAATTAATGAGACGCTGCAACGGAGCAACAGCATTGCCTTCCAGAAAGCAGGATGACGCCAGGAGAAAATTCTGCCAACCCAAAGAGCATGCAAAAGAGCCCTGCTAATGCCGGTGAACTGATGCAGGTGGGTTTGGAGAAAGGAGGGAGAAAGGCAGGAAATGCACCGAAGATGTCTTGGCTTCCTCAGTAAGCAGGGGAAGAAAAAGCCGAGGAACATCCTTGGAAGCGGCATTGAGGAAGACCCAAGAAAGGGAGCTAAAAGAAGATCAGATCAGGAGGATCTGTTCTCTGCAGGCTTCCCTCCTGCCTCCCTTCCTGCACCACCGCCCTGTCGGTCCTCAGCAACAGGAAGAGAGGCAAAAGCTAAACACAGGCATTTCTGAACTTTCCCTAACACTCACAGGCTTGCCCGCCACAGGACAGCCCCTGAGAGCAGACGTGTCCAGTGGGTAGCGCTCACACAGGAACTGGGCCTTACCCAATATAGCACTATTTAGAGCAGCACACACAGGTTCCCTCTGGATCGGGTCCAGCTGTTGACCGACGGGGCAGTTCCAAGGGTCTGAGTAAGCTAGCAAGCTAAACGCGTCCTGCGTGAGAGAAGAGAAAGGCACGGTAAGGTCATGCATGGCTGCAAACACACCGGAAAACCGCCAGGTCCATCAGCCAGGGCACCTCCTGCCACCGCCAAGGTGACAGGTGCCTACCTCCTGAAAAGAAATGGCCCTTTTCTTCTCAGCAGCAAGGGACCACACTGGGCCATCAAGATAGTGGATTAAAGAGGGTGCCCCCTCCACCTGGCAGGGGAGCCAGCACGGGAAGGCAGGTAGAGTGTCACCTGGGGAGAAGAAGAGCGAAGGCAGGCAGGAGCGGTACGTGTCTCTCCGGTGCCGAGAACTGGGTCTAGATGCGCCACATTCACCGAGTTTCGATCTCTGATTCCCATGCAGGCCCCCTCTTCCTCACCAGGTGCAGAAGCGGGGGCCACCCAGAGCTCTGCAAGAGAACCCGCGTCCCCAGTCCTGGCCCAGAGAACTGCTGCGGTGCAGCACAAGGCCCGGGCTTACCTGAAGCATCTTTTTGTGCACTGTGTTCTTCCCATATTCTCTGCAAAGCTGCTCGCTCAGCATCTGCAGCTCCCGTCCAAACTGGATCATGCGCTCCGTGGCAGCGTGGTTCCCTCCACAGAGCTGCCTCTGGGGGCAGCTGTCTTCTAGAGGAAAGGCAGTGGAGAAGTAAGAATCGTCTCTCATTCCCCACCGCTGCCCACTCTTGTGTCGTGCTACCCATAAACTCCTTCCCCTTCTGGAGCAGGTAGCTGCTCCCTGCTCTAAGTTTATCCCAGTGGAAGCTCTTCTGATCCCTGCACTACGACGGCCAGTAGAGGCTTTTTCATGGCACCTGTAGGGTACAGGGAAAACCTGAGCTCAGTTTGTTTAATGCTTGAGGACTACAGATCAAGTATTCTGATAAAATCACAGGAACTTGCAGCTCTGGCTGCGTTACCCTTTCACGTGTGCAATACAGCGCACACAACGTGGAAACCCCTGGTCTAACAAAACCTGGACTCAGAAAACTTTCCGAGATGCCAACACCACCAACTTCCCAGTATTGTTAGGCAGCCACGACATCCGTTATAACTGGAGGAATCCCCAGTTTCAGAGGTCGTGTAGCTAATTCATCCTCTCCCTCCAGGCTACAGCACCCACAAACCCGACAGCTGACCATACTGCGCTGAGGACGCTTCGCAGCCGGGCGTCAGTCAGCCTTTCACAGCTCCGTTCAGTCCCTCGGCTGGAAGAAGTGACAGGACTGCTCTGAGCTGGAATTCAGGGCTGAACAAACCTTTGACTCCTATTGCTTCCCCTGCTCCACAACCTCACCAGTATTGCTGCAGAACTATGAAAAGCCAGACCTAATTTTAGTTCCAGGACAGATTCATTTTCCCCGTGAAACAGCCAACTTGAGAACTTCCTTCACCGGGGTGGGGAAAGAAACCCAAAGTACACGGTTTTTCCCCCACAATCCAATCACAATTTTAACTGCCAGCACCAACTCCTCCTACTTCCCGTGACCCCTCCTGCCTCTGAGGCCCTACCCATGCTGGATTCATCTGTCTGCAGGATCTCTTCATGTTTGTAGGTGCCATTCATTATCCTGGTGGATGAATTTTCCAGGACTCCGTTGGGGTAATGCTCAGCCTCCATTTCCATCTCGCTGTCACTGGGGTGAAAGGAGGAAAGAAAGGTCAGTTGTCTAAATTAGAAAGGGAAGAAATTAAGAGCTCAGATGCCAAATGGTGCCCAGGAATGGCCAGTAAACCAGGAAAGGTGCCAGCTGGGCTACAGAGAGCCAGATGGTCTAATTCGGTGCAAGCAAAAATTGTTGCAGGCTTCTGAAGAAAATTTATGGAACAGGTTTCTGTTCCGAAAGTGCCCGTCATAATTACAGGTGCAGAGAGCTTATCGTTTTCCCTTCAGGAAGCAGTCATCTCTGGGACAGTGACAGCAGCCAGACAACAGATAACATATTTACACGCTAAACAGGAGGGAAATCTTGGCTCTGGTAAGCCATCAACCCTTGCAAAAAGTGCAACGCAGAATCCAAGGGCTCTAGGCTTAGATGTTCAAGACAGCAGCCTTAGTGAGATTGCTGATTAACTGAAATGATGAGAACATCTTGCTGGGATTTGGGCTCTACATTTTAAAAAAAGAATCATTAAGTCCAGCCTTAATGGTTCTGGTAAACTTGAGTCTGAACAAGTGCTTCTCACTCAGTTACGTGCCGTATGGCTCTCAAGAGGTCGTGACAGAGACTACACACTGTCCCGCGAACGGTGCTCAGCACAGTACTTGGAGGATGAGTGCCAGCTGCAATTAGCAAGAGATGCTACTCATCACAAGGATATCCTCTGCTCCAGCAGGGCCTCAGACAGCCCTGCAACGCCAGCCTGGAAAACGAGCCCGAAGGAAGCTCAGTATGTTCCACACACCAGTAAACGCAGCAGTAACTATCCCCCTCTCCTGGACCGCCCACGGCTCCGTGGAGGAGGGAGGCTTTCTGAAGGTCTGACTTGCTGCCACAAGTACGAAACAAATTACTGTTGATTCAGAGGCTCATCTGGAAGGAACTGGGCAACAGGTAGAGGTATAGCCCAAGGAAAATACTCAAGAGGGCAACGCACCAACCCAGTAATCACTTGAGCTGCTGCCTCACCGCCTAAAGGGCAGGCAAGCTGCTCAGCAGCAGGTATCGACTGGCTGAGGCAGCAGTAACGGAAACAGGACCAGTGGGAGACCTTCTACGCAAACTGTCACGTTGGGCTCTAAGGACATCGGTTTAATGGGACGGCTTGGTGTCTGAAACAAGAGCATCATAATATTCCTTATGAGATGAGCCTCCAAGCCTGAGCCAGAGCAGGGGAACTGGAACAGGCTTGTGTCTGCTGGGAATAATAGTGACCTTGTAGATACAAAGAGCTGTTCCGTTGTTCAAAAGAGCAGGACAGATGCCCTTCTGGCTCCTCAGAAAGGGGACTGAGCCCTCTCCCACCATCTCACCCTCCTCACGCATCTACAAAGGGGAACAAATACCTGGTTTCTTGGTTACTCGTACTACTGTGCTGCTGTGATTTGGTAGAATCTGTAGAATTGGACTCAGAGTAGTTCACAGATGAGGGGGAGGAGGAGGAGGAGGATGAAGATGATGAACTCAGTGTTGGGTATTTACTGTGACTCTGTTTGCTTTTTGTGGACATAACTCCATTGCTACAGGTTGGACTATCTGCTCCTGAAAGTCAAGAGGAAAGGGAAAAAATGAGATCAGACTGAACAGTATCAGACTGTTGTGAAGTCAATGATTTAGCAAGAGACCAGGCCCCAAAGGAAGAACGCAAAATAAAACTGCGAATCTTAAATTATGATTCACCATTCTTAAATTCAATGGGGTTTAGAGAAAATACAAATGAATACGGAAGGAACCCCGCTGCTCAACCAGCAACATCTGAGCTTAAGGAAGTTCTAAAAATGGGCTGTAAGTAGGAGATCGCCAGCAACAGCTCACACAAGTACAGAAATTATTGCTGAAATATGAAGCAGGGATGGTTTGTAAAGAAGTTTACAAACTCTCTTCTCACAGACCCAAATATTTCTCATAAATTGAAATCTCATCCACTTCCCCACAAAAGGTGCCTATCAAACTGTGGAACTCGCTGACGCAGGACACAAACCTTTGGTTCCCACAAGTTTTATATGGAGTAAAAAATGACTGGCTAAATTTACAGGGCCTATTAAATACCAAGACAATGGCAAATCTTTAGGGGCTCAAATAATATTTTGGAAGAACCTCACTATGGGCTCGTCTTCTTCCTATATTCTTCCCATGGCAACCAATATTGACCACAAGCTCTTGACTAGACAATGCGACTTGGCATGGCTGTTCCTCCAGAAGTGATGGCACTATATCCAAATCCACCAGCTGATCCCACAATTATATTTATAGCTAGGGAATTTATTTCTATTTTTATCAAACAACGGGCTGTTTTGTGCCTTTTGATGACAAAGACACAGCGGACTGCACAACAGCTCTGCTTAATCTTTGAAACATGCACTGATGAAATGATCACGATTTTGAAAGAACAAGATCTGACAGAGAACTGTGGAAGGTCTTGTCCTGTGTATGGAGGCAAGTATACATGAATGCTGCCTTGTGCTGCCAGGTTTTTTTTACGTAGCCATCTCCTGGTTGAAAACGGGTACTACCAAGAGCTTTTCTGGAGGGATGGGAGTGTTCTGACTATCTAGTCAGAGAAATATACCCAGGGTTTCTCACAACACAATACAGGAAAACAGAGATACTGGCTTGGGAAGGTGAGTGACAGCTTGGAGGCATTCAGGTGATTGTCCTCCTTTCCCTTAAATGTTTGTCTGTCCACAGTTCATCACACGCAGCTGTGGGAATACCGAAAACTAAACACACTTGGATGGCCGTGAGCAGCTCACGGCTCAGTGAAGCAACTCAGACTGTTTTAGGGGCTCTGCAAGTCGTACTCCCTGGCCCACTCCATCTTCAAAGCTGTAGTCAATAACTACCTAGGGAAGATAGCCTGCGTGTCCTGGTTTACCTTGTTCTTTCCACTTCAAATCCTAAAGTTTCGTTTCCCAAACCGCAAAAAATTGATGCTTGAGAGATGGGTTTTGCAGGTTCCCTCCTCCCACGTTCAGAGCTTGCAAGGTAGAGTGCATGGCATCCCTCTAATCTTTCACTCAGTTGGCCAGAACAGTGCATCTTCTGCTCGGTCCTTCCTGGAAAGCAGTTTTTTTGCAGACTCCAAGGAAGTCTGGCTTTGCTCTCCAGACCGCCTCTTGCAGCTCGGTCAGTGAAACACTAGTGGCTGCACTAGAAGGCCACCTATAAAAGCTTTATCCCCAAAAAAATCTGCTCTGCAGACAATTGTCTGTGGAAAATTACTCACACAAAACCAATTCTGTAACAGTGTAGAGACACCCACGACACCAGTATGTCCTCTCAGCTGGGTATCACGAAGGAAAAGAACATTTCATAGCATAATGTACAGAAAGCAGCAGGTAACGGACAGCAGTTGACATTTGCTCTTCTCAGCAGGAGACATGGAAAACAAACTTACCGGTGCTATGAACATGTGAGTTGCTTGATCCATGTCTAGGACTCAAGCTGGGGGACCCGGGGTAACTGTCCTGGGATCTGGGGCTGCGGGCACTGAAACAACGTACTTCACTGTCTGTCCCGTTCACCATCTCCACAAACTGCCGACACCTGATTTCATAGGAAGGAAGAGGGAGAAAAGGGTGCGTGACAGCCAGGATGCTCCGCACTGAGGCTTCCTGAGTGATTGAGAAGTCCTAGAAACTGCAGAGGAGCTGAATTTCTTGGCTTTGAAAAAGACATTTTAGACTTCTGGTACCTTTGTATTGCGAGTGCTCTGATAATGCTATGGGAGGAAGGAGTTCAGAAACTCCAACTTTGATGCTAGTGAATGTCGAGACATTCCCCAAAAGCAAGTTTATTTCCATTGTGCTAAGAAGAAACTGTTCCCTTACAGCATGCTTCCATCTCCACCACCTCTGCGGGTACTCCAAAATTCAGCTGTGGGGTTTTTTTTTGTCAGGGAGAAGATACTAAATCTACCAAACATCACAGTTCCCCCACTACTCCATCAACCTAGAAATACTGTTGGCCAATGGAAAATAGACACGGAAGGGTAAAAAATGCAATATCCACGCTGACAGTGAGGACATCTCCCCATTTAGCTTCACTGGGAATTGTCCTTACGTGTCTCAGGAGGCTGGGGAGAGCCACTGGGCTGGGACATATGGTTGGGCGAACTGGGACACACAAGCACTTTCTGCCTTCAGTCTCTACCCCAGACAGCCTTTTCCATAGGTCTGCCTTTCTAGGAACCTTCACAGTGACTGCCCCGTGCTCCAGCGTCGCAAGATCTCCACGAGACAAGTAAAGCCATCGGTGAAGGAGTTTCTGGCAGTCAGCAGAGCTAAAATTTCAGCCACCTCTGCCGCACCTCGTGAGGCAAAGCCATTACTGGGTCCGAGCAGCAACAAAAGGGCTACGTCCACATTGCTACAAGCACTGTGCAAAGGACTGAACCTACATCCTCTCCCAAAGGCGTCTCAACCAGTTTGAATGCAGACCGAGGTGTGCAGCCAGACTGGATGGCTGGACAGCCTCTTCCTTCCCTCCTTCATCTACACAGTTCGGCATTAGGGAGCATAAAGCTATCCATACTTACTTTAACATGAAGAGCAGGTTGGGGTTATGTTCTAGGAGGCCAGGATAGAGCTGTTGGGTGGCTTCTATAGCCTCTCCCACTCTGCCTGCTAATACTAGCTTCTGTATTCCTGAAAGAAAAGGAGACCTGCTGACACACAGGACCAGCCAAGAAGAACAGCCAGAAGAGTTGTCTCACATATGCCACACAGCTCCCCACTACGACCTTGCACAGGCGCTAGGGAGCACTGGGGAGCGTATCCCATTTATTATGGATTAGGATGAGGAAAAGCCTGTGAAAATGAGAGAGAATCTGTCAGTGGCTCAGAAACACCAAAAGTAGAAGGATCGGAAAGACGGAGTGGGTGCGCTGGGGTGGGGTGCTCTGGGACTTTAGTCCTTTAGGCACAGTGACGGAGAAGAAAGCAGGACACGACAGCTGGATGGGAGCAAGGAGGCTGCTGGGGAAATGAGTTTCAGAGGGGAAAATGACAATGTCAGAGGGAAAAGCCCTAAGTCAGCCCCACGTTACATCCTCTGGCTGGTCCTTGCTTGGAAGATTACTGCAGGGCTGACCACCAGATGAGCAGAGTATTCTTAGAGGGTCTAGGGGCTTAAACCACAGCACGGTACCGCTTCCCCACTATCCCTACCTCTAAGCAGAAGTAATTATACCAACAAAACGGGGTTCCTGCATGTTCCACCTCAATATATTCCCAGAGAAGTAATCTGAGCTGCAATGAGGATGTCAGCCAGCTCCAGGAATCAACTACTGACTAAGCTAGAAACAGCTCAACAAGTTCTACGTTTCTACCAGGTGTAAAGACACAAGGCAGGAGCCATCTATATCACCCTGGGTGTTCGAGTCCCAGGTATGTTCCTTCAGTGGGACAGAAGACACAAGTGCAAGACTCAACGCAGTCACCGATCCCATCCCACAACACTCAGGGAAGCTGCTGGTCTACAGAGATTGACATTTTTTTTTTCTCTAAGTGTACTTAAACTAAAACCTAAATGTACTTAAAACTGAAACTGCATTGCACTTCCCTCTCTGTTTTTTCCAGGACTCCTTACAAACAACAGAGAGGAGGTTTTGAATTGCCTGTGAGGTGCTTTGCAAGCAGAGGCTCTAATAACAACAGGCTGTGACTTTCACAAGTCATAAGCTCTTGAAAGCCCAGCTCGGTGATCCTCACTAGCAATTCCCAGTAACAACCCGCAATGACTTGTCTTGGCTCCCACTTCTCAGTGTCTATTTGCTTGTTTTCGTAGCTGAAAGCTAAACCCAAAGACATGGCGCTCACACCAACGTGTGTTGCACAGTCTCCTTCGTTTCACTCTCCGTTCCTTCTACTTACTTGCACGTCCGTTTTCACGTCTCGCTGCTTTTGACAGCACTCTTCTTTGCCTCGTTTGGCAGCTCTCACAGATGTCAGCGTCTTTTATATTTTCCCCTCTTTTTGTTTTCCCATCTGTGTTTTCCTCACACCTTTTATTTAAGCCCCAACTTCAGAGCTCTGTGTTCCTTCCCTCCATCTGCCTTGCCACCCGTCCTCAGACGACGAGACTGCACTGTCTCGCGTGCCTCCTTACTAGCCTTACTAGCCCAGCCTTACTAGGCTTCACCAATTAAACCCATACCAGCAAGACCTCTGGCTGGGGTCAGGGTTGCATAATGCATGACCTGGAAAGCATAAAGCCCATCAGCACTAACGGGCAGCCACTACAAGTTATTTTGGGTACTAAGCAGAGTCCCCAGATGAACCCGAATGCTGGCTAAGCGCATGTAATGTACGGAGAGCAAGCTACAAAGGGGCATGACGCGCCTGATACGTGACAGTCACATGAGAAACGGTTCACAAAGGGAAGGGAAAGGCACAGAGCGGGACGCAGCCTGTGTTCAGCAGCCAGGAGAATGCAGAAAACACACCAGTGTTCTGGGATTCTGCAGTTTGAGCCTGTGAATAGAAAAGCTAAAACAAAAGAGTACAGCAGGAAAAAGCTGCAAGCCTTATTCTGCAGGAACCAAAAGCACTTACAGCCTTTACCAACAGCGAGATGAGCCACTTCAGAGGGAACAGCGGTAAGCAAAACAGACACAGAACACAAATTCTTCACCTAGTGAGAGCTAAACACGTTGGCTGTGACTTTGCAAAACCCTCAATATGCAAAAAATTTACCTGAAGACCCAATGTGCAAAGGGACTGCAAGACTCATTAACTCTGGGAGCTGTAGTCAAAATAGATTGATGTGTCTGGGTTCCTACGGTCATGCTAATGAAAACCACCCCTGCTGCAACAGACTGCATTGAAGAACCCAAATCCAAAGGGATCTCAAGTGCACAGTGACCTCAGTCTGGGTAAAGTCCAACCATTCTATTGTCCTCCAACTTGGCACTACTTCGAGGAGAGCACCTTCTGCCCTGGATGTTTCGTTTAGCCTGATGTGTGAAACTGATGGACCTAAAGCCGATAGTCACCTCATCTCTTCCAAGATTCAGCTATTCATTTTCAACAAGACTGAGGAAAATTAACCAAGCTGCTAAGAAAACTCAGCGTATTCAAGACCGCCAGGCATGCGGGGCATTTCTCAGAGCAGACAGGCAAAGGAAAGAATAGGGCAGTTCTTCAGGCAAAGGTGGCAGAGGGTGGAGAGGACACAGAGATGGTGGGAGAAGTGCTCCCAGCAGTGGTCCCCAAGCTCTACTGACCCACAGGCAGCCACGGCAGGTCAGCAGCGTGCTGTGGACAGCTTTGTACTGTCATGGAATAACTCTTCTACTTCCACAGCTTCATTCCTCTGCGGGGTCCTGAAGGGGACACGCGGCCAGCGTGCCACGCTTCGGGAACGACTACCCAAGAGACTTACTTTGTCTATTCTTTATTGAGGTCTGTTCTTCCTGGATTGTGGTGTCTGTGACTCTGGCAAAGGCAGTTGCTGTTGAACAGTACCCGTGATGAACCAAATATGACGAAACCATACTAGAAAATAAGAAAACACAAACAGATGAAGAGGCATTGGTAAAATAGGGTAATCACGCTGGAGAAAAAACATCAACACAACAGAAGCTGCAATTTCAGTGACCAAACTCAGGTTGCTCAGGACACAAACAGCGTCCTACTTCTGAGTCCAGACAGTATAAATTTTCTAGGTAGGCGCTTGCTCCTCAGGAAACAGAAGAGAGACTCTAAATTCACCTTAAGGCAAAAAAAAAAAAAAAAAAAAAATTAAGATCCCCAATGCATACACAGTGGTTATTTAATTAATCACTGCTGTCCAAGGGTCATTTGTAATGTCCAAGGGTCCAGTACAGTGTTACTGCCAGTGACACAGATACAGCCCCCTCCTATACAGACAGAAAACCCAAACCTCAGCGAGGCTCACGGCTTTCAAGTAGACCTCAAAAAAAAAAAGATCCTGGTCCTGAATTTCTTCCATCACTTATTTTGCCAGCAATTTTATCTTTGGTAGTTGAATTTCCTTATGAATTCACAGATACTTTTATCTGCTGATTGTAATTACAGAGAGTAGACTGTCAGCATTGATTTTACAAATGTTAACACATCTTTAAGTTGTATTTTCAAAAATCGTTGGCGGGGGTAGTATCACCGTCAGAAAACACACACAACAAAACCACCTTTCTGAACAGACCGCTTCTAAAGCATGTCTGCCTTCTCAGGATATGGCAGGTAAATGTTAATGCTCACTGGGTTTTAACAAAACCTAAAAAGCCAGCACAGCATTTCAAAGCTGCTAGTGATAAATCCCAAAACAGGCTTCTCATGATGATGCTGGTGTTGATCTGACCAAGTCACAGCCCAAAACACGCATTCAACTTCGCTACTTCCATGCAAGAAAGAAGCCTCTTATAAGTCAGCAATAATTTTCAGGCGTAACGTTTTAGGCAAGCGTATAATTTTTAAAACTTGTCTTAAAAACAAGCGCTTCTGACCAGTGTTGGTACAAGACATGCCCTTTGCCCTTGGCATGACAGAGACGGGCGTAATGAAGCGCATCCCTGCGTCGAACGCGGCGGCCAGGTCGCCCTGCGGTCCAGGCTGGCAGGGACGGAGAGCAAAAAGCCGACTCGCTTCAGTGTAATTCGGTAGCCAGAGTCAGAGGCTCAATGCTGCAAAAGATTTAAATCCTCTAGAAAGCTGCACAAAACCCGAGCTCCTCCCTACGCCGCCTCTGCCCGTGGCGCCGGGGGAAGCGTCCCTGCGTGGGTACACGGCAGCGTGACGCGCCGGTCCCTCTGCCAGGCTGGTTTTCAGCAATGACTTATCAGTTCTCAGCCTCAGCTACTTACTACAGCAGTGCTGCACGCTCTCAAACATTCAGCAGCACGTCTGGGGTACCTCTCCCGAAGTCCTGGGGGAAACATTATCCCCCTCCACTGTGACCTACGTGACGCGTTCACGCAGACAGCAACCACCTTTCAGAAGCCCAGGCTCTCCAAAGCAATGACTTTTATCGCTTGGGAGCCACGGTTGAAACTTGTTGAGGGCAGAAATGATCAAATCGGAGGAGCAGCTATGTCTGTGCTGCATCTAGGGGTGCTTCTCTCACCCAGAGCGGCCATGGTGGTGGTGGAGAGGGCTTGCCCCGTCTGTGGCTTTTCTCCTTCAAGGCAGAATTTGACTGCACGCTTCTCTCTACAAACCACACACAGTTCTCCTCCTTCTGGCACGGACCCCTTAGATTCTCAAACGACCAATGCCGAGTCA